AGAAAAAAAAGCTGATCTTATGAAAAACTTTTACACAACAGCATGCCACATACACAGAATGTTCAAACTGTTTAATCTTCCTTTTTCACATGACTTGTAATACAAGAATAAAGAAGCTGATCTTATGAAAAACTTTTACACAACAGCATGCCACATACACAGAATGTTCAAACTGTTTAATCTTCCTTTTCACATGACTAGTTTCTCGAACATAACATCCAAACTACCTAATTTCATAAACTTTATGAAAAGAAGTAGTCATTTAAACAAAACACTTAGACATTAACCTTATGAAATTTTTCTACCTATTTCACTACTTAAATAGTTTAACTGTCCTGTTTTAAAAAATACATTAACAAAATAAGCCACTCATATAACAATTCAAACTGTGTTTTTAAGAATTATTTCTAAACTGATTTCTATGAGTACATAATAATGTTCCAATTGTTTATTCTTAAGATTTTTTTACACAAAACCACCAATCATTGTTAAAACATGTAATGTAGAAAAATGTCCATACAAATATTTTCATTAACACATACCACATATCAAATTTCTAGCCTTCACACATATACCATAAGCTTGATTTCAAACACTTCAACAGAAGTACCCACTAAATTAAAGACTAACACACACATACTATCTGGAAATATATCCAAAAACTGTATTGTTTCAAAGATATTTCCACTGAGCAATTTGTATGCACATAAAACTGTCAAGATTTAAAAAATTTTTCAAAGTGCTGTTTGTATTAACATACAAATTATCCAGTCTAAAAGAAACCTTTTCACATGTTATCATACATACAGCATTGCCATAAAAATATGTATTCAAATACGCATGTGGTAAGCATAATTACTCAGAAATCATTTTGTTATTGGAATGTGAAACTTTTTTAAAGGAAACAACAGAATCAAACATTACTACACATTTCAATCAATCATTAATTTGTAAGAATGTTTATGCATATAAAAATATTTTGTACACAGTTACGTTTTTAATAATTACTACGCTAAAAATAAAAAATACTGATCATTGTGTATGAAGTATACAAGATTAAGTTTCTTGATAAAACTACCCACTTTGTACATAAATAATGAATCATACAAGTTTACAAATACATAAAACTGTTTTTCACATTATTATACATAGATGTATATGTTTAAAAAACTGATTATGTTATAAAATCATAAAGAAATGTGTCAATATGATTTTTTTTGCACACGAAATGTAGGAGTTTACTCATG